AGAGAGAGAGAGAGAGAGAGAGAGAGAGAGAGAGAGAGAGAGAGAGAAAGCGCGAGCGAGAATGAATGGATTATTGGCGCTGGGAGAACAACAACAATAACAGCGGCAGTAGTAGCAGCGCGAGTTTTTCCACAAAAACCAATGTTCATTGCAAAAACGGCTTGCCGTTTCATTCCCAAATGCCATATTTTTCTTAAGAATTACGTGTTTAAAATACAACAGCCACAATACGAATATTTTTCGTTAACGATTTCCAAAACATTTGCCAATAAACCAGAATCGGCGAAGCAGCGACACCAGCCGCACCAATGGAATAAGAGAGCAAAACCAGCCTCAAATCTTTACACAGTGAGAGCCAAAGAGGAAGCCGAGAATGAGAGGAAGCGAAAAACTATTGCGAGAGAGGGAGAGAAAAAGAGAAAGAGAGAGAGAGTCGTGCAGTATCATAGCAGCGCATAAAACTCAGTGTAATACATTATAGTGACAAAACATGCTCCATTGTACGAAATAATCGCTATTTGAGAGCTTCTACACCGACAGCAACCGACTAATAACATTACTCCGAACATCCACGCACACACACACACATGCAGTGCTAGTGCCATTGATGTGGTCGTGTAGTTGTGTGCGAGTGTACGGATGTTGAATGTTGTAAGCCCTCATGCTGCAAATGCATATGGATGAAAGTTTTACGCTATGGCAGCAATGAAAATGCGACATTTGTCAATAAGTGTCAAAGTCATAAAAAGCGTTGACTAACAAAAGAACAACCAACCGACGAAAAACGGATCCCATTCTCAGCCACCACCAAAAATACACGTTCATTGTTTTCTTTCGATAATTTTTTTTACTCTGTTGTTGCTGCTGCTGCTTCGGTTCTGCGTTAGTTGTTGCCTCTCTTGCTCGTTCATTCTCATCTTTTTGATGGCAGTGGTGGTGGCGGTGGCTGTCAGCCGGTACACGCATTCAACTTTTAACTTAGCCACATTCTTTTTTATGACATTCTCTCGCTCATAGTGCATGGATCAGCAAGTGTGAGACGGTGTATGTATATGCTGATGGTGTTGATGTTGCTGCTACAGCATGAACGACAAAAATCGAAGAGCCGAAAAACGAATAAGCGATTTATCGAAGATTTTTATGGTTTTCTGTTTAACGTAATTACGCCCAAGTTAAAGCGATAATAATTGTCATTTATTCAAATTTATTGAAAGGAATAACATCGTTTCGGTTTGATTGATTGTGATTGCTGTCTCGTTTTCGCTTTATTGGTACCAGCACCAATAGCAGTATCGACTGCACAAACATGCAAAACATTAGCAACGAATATAACACACATACGGAGAAAAAACAAGACCGCAGAGCTTCGCTTCGCTCCGCTCTGCTCTGCGTTCTTGAGTTTTTAGTTACTTAATCTATTTTATTGTTTCACAACAAACTATTTTTTGGCGCACCACATGAAATGTATTTCATCAAAGTAACTTTGAAGTAATTTATTTATTTGCAAAATGAATGACAAGACCTTGGTTTTATTTCTTTTTTGAAATATACTGCCCTTGGTTTAAATTAAATAAAAAATATGAGCATAAAATTCAAATTCACCATAATTTGTTTCAACACTCAAAAAGTATTAAGAAAAGAAAAAAAGCAGATTAGTAGCTCTACATTTGATGTAGTACTAAAAACATCCATACGCACAAATTCACATACATTGCCCACGTTGCGATAAAGCGAGAAGAAAAACAGCAGCAGCAGCAGCAGGAGCAGTAGAAGCACGAAATAATGTCCAAAATTTTGAAAGCTTTGCCAAAACGATGCTGCGTGTTGCGTTTATTGCATTATTCATCGAACGTTTCGTGTTTATTTGATGTCTTTCGATGCTTTCTTCACCTCCTTACACCCTCCTCCTTCTTCTTCTTCTTCTTTTTGTTCGTGTATTTTTTTTCTTGTTTTTACCGCCGTGTGATTCGCTTTTTTGTTTTCTGCCCTTAGCTTCACTATGTTCTACATATGCGAACTGATTTTGACGTACGTTTTCAATCTGAAATTCCATATTGAATGCTGTCAATGCTTGTTCATTCGGCGAATTGCAATTCGTGTTGTCGCCGAAACTCCTCCGTTTTCCTTCTAAATTCCCAAACTCTCAAACCCAAGAAATTCCAACCGATTTTCTCTTATCACATATTTTTAATGCTGTCGTTCATTTTTCTCTCTCTTTCTCTCTTTCTCTCACGTTCTGTCTATTTTTCGTCCCGCTTTGCAGGTAGACCATTGCCGAATGTAACGTGGTGGCACGATACGACACTACTCGATGATACATCTGTCATTTTGTCAGGGAATCGTGTAAAAAATGTGCTTAATCTTCAAAAAATTGAAAGACGTCAACTGCATATGGTGTATACATGTCAGGCATCAAATAATAATGTTACCATGCCGATCGTCAGCTCAATCACGTTGGATGTGAATTGTAAGTATAAATATCCAAACATAAGTAATATTATTTTTCTTTTTTCTTTCTACTTTCGTTCGCTTCATAACTCCATCTTCAATTGGACGGACCAAATATGAGGCGGCGAACTGAATGTCGAACGTAAATTGCATATTTCTGGAGGTTGAGTGTGTGTGTGTGTGTGTGTGTGTGTATGTTGACGCCATTTAGCCATAACAGGGCCCTGTTATCACTCTTTATGGAGTAATCTTGTATACACAAATAACACCGTCAACAACAGTCAGCTTATATATATATATATGTATGGTATCAAGGAAATATCTGTCGCACACACCGTGCCCACCGAACACCGAAATGAGAATTGAACATGTTTGCCATTATTATTATCATTTGTGTGTGAGACTTTTTTTTCTCTTCCCTCACTCAATACGAAGCGACTTACTCCATCGTTTTCTCTATCCCATTCTCGGCCGCTTTTTTCCTCTTAATTTTTTTTTGCTATCTGATTGTCTTTTTTCCCTGTCGCTCGTCATGTGTCGGACTGAACTGGTGGCTTTTTTTCACTACCACTTCTTCAACTTTTTCACCAATTTTTCCAATGTACGAAAACGAATTTTTATGATTTTCGTTTTTTTTTCGCAATTTGCCTCATCATTAATGCATAATGTTGTTCTTGTGCTCAAACTACTACTCTCTACCGCCGACAACTTCAACCATGCCCACGTAAAATGACATGTATTCACGCGCGCACATGAAAGACGAATGAAAAAATGAAGAAAAAGATAAAAAAAAATCTACCGAATCTCTCTTTTACACACATACACACACAGAGAAAGAGAGAGAGAGAGAGACGCACGCAAATACATGCGATAGCAGCGAACTATGAATGTGGGACATTTCAACAAATATCTTGTGTTAGCTCCGTATGTGTTATACTTATGTGTTGTCACGTAATCCTATCAATTTATATAGCGCAAGCTTGCACATCCCCAAATTAACCAGCAAATTACAGCAACAAGAGCAGCTTCAATATCATGAACTTCAGTGGAGCGCGAGCAACAAAACGAACAGCACATCAAATAACAATGTGTGTGCTCGTTGGAATACGGTTTGTGTGTGCGTGCGCGTGCTTGAGCGCGTTCAGCTCATCTGTCTGCTTGCCTGCCTGCCTTAAAATTCCATCTATTGCACTCTCTATGTGTCAGTGTATATGGTGTGATGAGCTGTGTATATGTGCCGAAGTGATTCGCGTAGCTAAATATTGACGATATTGAAATAGCAAATTTTTTTTTAAAGAAAGAAAGCAACGAAATAAGAGTGACAACAACGCACAACGCATTCACATTTACGACAACATTTCGATTAAGCGCCTGCCATGCAATTTGCCTCTTGTTGTGTTGACGACACCGAATCACACAAGAAAAAAAAACACGCGACAGAGACACTCTCACATATAACAACCATTTCGCACCAAAAAAAAACGGTATTATATTAAAAATTGAATAGCAGATTAAAAAACACATACACAAAGTTGTTGAAAGACGAGATGTTCAGAGGGAAAATGAAGAAGAAAAAAAGCGATAAGTAGAAGAAAGAAGAAGAAAGGTCATAATTCGAATGTTCTATCTGATGGAAGCAGTGCCAACCAGTTAAACTGTGGCATTAACAGCCTGACGATGCCGAAAAGCGGTAGAAACAACAGCAACGCCAAAATGACAACAACAACAAAAGAAAAGAAAATCCATCGTGTACTGTACATGCATATAACAGAAGAATTTGCGTGAAAAGCATGTTGACAAATATGTTTAACGCCATTTTTAAGTAAAAAAAATTTCTCGCAAACACGGCCAAACGACAGATGAGGTTGCGGGTGATGAGTTAGGCGGCGCTGACATCGTTTTGAAGGAATTGATTGTTGATGTCAACCAAAAATAGATGTATTTCACCAGCGCCGCCTGACTCATCACCCGCAACCTTATCTGCCGTTTGGCCGTGCTCGCAAATTTTCAAACGACTCGCTTTTTGATCGCTACGTATATTTTTGTTTCTCATTTCGGGCCATGACAGTCACATGACCGAATATTGAGGTGAGCCCGTCGCTGTATCGTTTTTTCTTCTCTCGCTCTCTATCTCAATTTTTCGATAGCGCTCGCTTCTGTAGCTCGACTTTTTCTTTTGATCGGAAGCCACTTTTCCAATTATATTATGTCAATAAATATTGGTACGAAATTCATGTGTTTGCTTGAATTTTCTTCTGCTTGGCTTGGCTGTTTTGTGCGCTATCATTCGGTGTGCTGGTACCGTTGCTCACCGCTGCCGCCATCGTCGTAGTTGCCGTTGTCGTTGTCGTTTTTGCCGTAGCTGTCGTTGTCGTGCTCTATCATTTATATTTGTTGATTCGTTTGCTACCGTCTATATCTCATCAACCAGATACATCGTTGTCGTCGTCACGTCTCGAATGTTTTTTTCTCGCATCGTGCACATGATTTTTTGTAGCTTTTTTTGGAGGTAGAAAGTGGGGGATAGGGATGGCAAAAGCAAAAACATTCTAAGCACAAACAAAAAAGTCTTTCGTGCACAACGGCTTTCATCAGGATATTATTACCGTTGCCTTAGCCATCAGATCGAATGACTTAGTCGGAGAGAGAGAGAGAGAGAGAGAGAGAAATGAGAGTATAGGCAAGAGGATTTTTAGGCGACATCATACTTACGTGATATATTGCACGGTGGGCAATAGCAATGGCAACAGAAGCAGCAGCCAGAGAAAAAAAGTACAACAAACTCGAATTAAATTCGGAGGAAAATATGTGGCTCATCATGAACACAAACACTGTCCGAATGAAATGTGTTTCCCATAGCACACAGGTCACTCACATGTTCCATCTAATGTTTCCATTTGCAAGTGCTTCTCCTCTGAAAAAAAAAATCATGATGAAAAAAAGAGCGAGCATCCATCGAGGAATAGAGAGCAAGCAAAAGCAAGCAAGCAAGCTAGCGAACGTATTTGATAAAAGGGAAATGTCAAGCTTTTTTTAATGCGGCCAATTAATGTAATGATAACTCTCTTTAATTGGCCGTTTTCTGATAAAACAACATCCAACATTATCCAAGCATGATGCACGCTAGAGAGACGAAACAACAGCAAAAAAAAATTCGCAACGTTTCATCGTCGGGCAGGAGGAAGAAAAAAAAAAGAGCAAACTATGGCACGGTTTGTGTGTGCCAGTGAGAAAAGAGACAGAGAGAACCACGCGCTAAAAAAAAAGAGAACACATATATAAAATTCACAATAGATTGAATCACATGTGCGTGTACACTGGAGTGAACACTCTTTCGTCCTGGCCGCATTTTGTGTGAGCGTGTACGTGAAACGTGAATTCGAGCATCCATTAAGCAAATGTGAAAATAAAAGCGAAGCGCTTGATTTCTGTTGAGATTTTGCCTTGCAGCTTCAAATAAATACATAAATTGATAAATTCGAACCAAATTGTGCGTAAATGCTGAAATATGTATGCCATTCACTACCAATTATAATCATAGACAATCGAATTTACGAGATTCTTTTAGCCCAAAGCGAATTGTGTCCCATCCCAATTGAGGAGGCCTTTTTGTACACACACACACAAACACATCGACACAGACACATACCGTGCACACATGCATAAACCTGTAATCTATGCTAACAGAAAATAAAGCGCTCATCGTACAGACACAATCACACATGCGAACATGAATCTCACCCACGGAAAAAGAAAACATACACACACACACACACATCGATCTCGTTCATAATAATACATATGAACCCAGGCACTGAACAAAAGTAGTCGCGTGTGCTGTGCATTGTGCAATCATATATACTTCGGATGGTACTTTTTATTGGCACAACACAATCAAAAAGCATTTAATTTGCGTAATTTCAATTCTATTTGTGTATTCATTTATTCATTCATCGCCCGTTCGTCGGTCCGTTTGTTCATTCATTCATTCCATTGAAGTATTGGTTCCTTTTTAGTATTCTTTTTATATATATACATATTTATTCTCTATTATGCTCACAATAAATGTTGTGAGAGAGTGTGGAGAGAGAGAGAAAAAAAGAGAACAAAATTTCATGTTCGATTTGGTTGTTTTATATTTTTCTTTGTTCTTTTGCAGTGCGTCCATTGTGGGTGAAATTACAAGGAGAAAATCGTCCATTATCAGCTGATAATGAATATCAACTGTGGTGCGAGGTGGTCGGCTCACGTCCAGCGCCGCTGATCACTTGGTGGAAAGGGAGCACGCCGATGCGGAATACACGAGAGATTGTAATTATTGCTTAATTTCATTTTCAATGCTATTGCATGTCTCGTTCCTTTTTTTCTCTACTTTTTTCGTACCACTCACTTTTATCATTACTGAAGTGAGCTACGTTGGCACTTTTTTGCGCTTCTATATATATATATATATATATATATATATATATATATATGCACCACTTGAGTTTAAGTGCGAACAGGGGCATTTTTTTCGTTGGTTGGTCGTCGTCGTCGTCGTATTTGATGGGGGGAAAAAACTTCGAATGCGAATACATTTTCTTATTTGATGCGTTTCACTTGAGAGGTATACGCGGGTATCCCCAACGCTCAATGAATTTTGACATGGTGTGAGAGAAAGCTAATGGCAACAAGAAAAAGAGGGAATATGTAGCGACACATAATGATTCAAGTCAAATGCAGTCTTCATTTGATCTACGTAGTACAAAAAGTAATTAAATTTAATTAGAAAATCACGTTATTTCGCAGCATTTAGAGCAAAAATTGCTTTGTTAATAAAGTTAGCTGTGACTAACAACATTCAATGCCTTTATCGTTTCAACGCAATGCTACGACAAGAAGGCGAGCGAAAACGATTCTGTTTCTTTTGCTGCCTTCGATATGCGTGTTTTGAGCTTTGTTTTGCTCTATTCTACTCTATTTAAATCCGAAAATCATCATGAATGAATGAACCAGATGAGATTGTATTTGTTAAATGTATGTGTGTATCTCGTTTGTTAAAGTATGTGTGATGTATTGGAATAAGAGCTCAAATGAGGCATGAAATCAAAATGGCTTTATAGACAAAACATTTTCCTACCATTGTTTCTTTTTTCTTTCTTTGCTGTTGTTGTTACAGTTTTGTATTGAAAATGACAAGCGAAAAAAAAAGCCGAACCGTAGTTCCAGTCAACAAGGGTGACAGAGAGGGGGAGCAGAAGTAGCAGAGAAAAAAAAACACTTGTCGCAAACAAGAGCATTTTTTCACATCCATTGATGATGTAATCGGTCATAGCGCCAATTAAAATTTGTTGAATGTATCGAACGGTTGCTCTCTACCTCTTCCCGCTCATATTTGCATAGAAATAAATTTCATTTTGGACAAAAAAAAAACGCATCAAATGTACGTGACTGTTTGGTTTTTGGTTCGATTTTTAATTAATTTTTAATTCATAGTTATAAATTATTTAATTAGTCAGTTCATTGAATAGGATCATTATTTATTGGCGCGGTTCTTATGATAAATCCCTATGATGAAAGATAAAATGATGATGCGCCGTTGTCTCGCCCATATGATTGAACGATTCATTGTGTTATGTTGCAAACGCTGCCGTTTGATGACGATAATGATGATGGCAACGACAAAGACATATTTCCAATGCGAATCACACACACACCCATTTGAAGCACGGAGTCATTTGTATTGGAGGAATTTAAATAAAAGACTGCATGTACGCGTTCCATTATTGTCTAGCATCCACTTTTTTTCTGTCTATGCTTCATTCTCCCTCTCTCTCTCTCTCTCTCTCTCTCTCTCTCTCTCTCTCTCTCTCTTTATCGTTTGCTTGCTTTCTGGTGGCAACAAATAATTTTACATCGTCAGCACCATCAATTAATAGACGACCAGAGTTTCAGAGTTTCTAGTGAAATTGTAATTGTATGTCCAAAAATTTGTGCTTGCATATGCGAATAAGTGGTGGTGTATTGATCCATAAAACGAACTGCAACTCTATACGTGAGTGTGCACCGGAGCTGCTTTCACATCGGTTCTCTGTCATTAATTTTGTGGCCGATCGTAATGAATTGAATGGATTCGGCCATACGAAAAGAGAGACGGATGGAGTTGGAGCAAGTGAAAATTTGAATCGATTTTCAAGATTTTAATTTTACTGTGCACACAGTTTTCTTCGATTGGATACACATTATACACATGTATATATATATATATATATATATATATATATATTCATTGAGGCCGGTTTGCCATTCTATGGATGCAAAAACCATATGGCTCACAGAATTCACTGCACACATTTTAAGAAAACCATCGATTAATATTTTACGTCATGGATCTTATGAGGAATAAAATTGGAGCAATAAATCACTGGTTTTACCTCAATACATAAAATGTAGCAATTTTCGCAAAATGCAACGTTTGCTGGGCCAAATCATTAGATTCTCATATGAGATAGTGAATCTCGCATTCTCTTTGTCGATCCTATGCTCCAGCCCGTTATGATTTTGCGTTACCGTTTCATGTTCAACATTATTCTAAGACATATTTCTAACCTGCGGTTTGGTATAGGTGAAATGAATAAATCAAAAGCTTGTCGTAAAATCATCATTTTATTTTGTCTCTCTCACCTTTAAGGTCGAAATTTGAATTTAGTTAAATTCATTTTAATGAGAACATTTTTTCAAAAATCATTTTTTAAAGCACGAAATGCACTTTGAATAATTTTGGGGTTCAATATTATAAGGCACTTGTGAACTCGTTGGATTCGCTTGTTTCTTTCCCTGTTAACTTGTTTACCGGAGACAAAATCGTTGCAATCACCAGAGAATAAAGCGAACTTTTTTCGTTTGTACACATATGTGTGGATCAATTGAACTTTGTATGCATAATAACGATAGCAACCTATGGCATATACTCAGTGTCCATTGGATTGTCAAAGACCTTGGTTGAAAAAAAAAACAATATATTCTATTGTACTTTTGAGTAGTTATTATTTTAAATCCAATGATTTACCTAATAAGAATAACATTTTAATATAGAGCTTCCTTTTTGGTTCTTCTACTGAATAAAACACGTATATGTCCCAATGTGCGTTTGATTCTCATTGATCGTCATTGTTCAAATGTTCATCAAATACACGTTTCCCCAAGAAAAGTCTTTATTTCGAAACACAGAAAATGTTGCGTTGGTTTCGAAGAAAAATTTAAATTTATTCAATTTGAGCAATAATAAAATTATTCGCATTTCAAAAATGGTAAACGATAGAATTAATGAATAAATTCTTTTTTAACCGTGCTATCTGCAGGAACAATTCACTGGAAAAAGTTTCATTTCAGAAATAATTCTATGTCAAAAAAAGACACACTTGCGATTGCATCAATTTTCGAAGACAAATTGGAATTTCATGTGTCTAACACAGCGATGGAAATGCGTTACCACGAAATATTTCTGATCCGGCGTGACAATAACAAATGTATTCTCGCTTCGATGTGCGTTGGTCATTTACCAATGAGACGTTGTGCTAGAGCGTAGCGCATCATGCAAAATTACTGTTCACAGTCTGTAAAATTACATTGAATTTTCTCTCCTCCTTCTTCCGACTTAACGTTCTAAACAGATTTTTAATGGCATTTGTTTCATGGGTATGTACCAAGCTACATAATGAACGCGCTCCGCCGCTTTCTCGCAGAGAGCAACAGTCGAAATTTTAATTAGATCCTCGTCGACTCAGTGACGTTGATTTTTCTTGTGGTGCCAACGGTTGCTGGTTGTTTCTTTTTTGTTTCCTTTGTAATTTTGCGGCTGAAGACGGGCCGCAAAGAAAGCGCCGATAAAATGTATTGACTGTGAATAAATTTTCACTTACACATCAGTTAATATCTGTTATGGGGATTTTTTTTTTGTCGGTGGTGGATGAAAAAACTTTTTTTTTACACATTGATAAGCTCATTCTTTCGACTCCCCGATGATTGAGTTGTGAAAGTTTCTTGTTCGCTTACTTGCTTGCTACTGTTACTGCTGCTGCTGCTGCCGTTTCTCGTTGGTGTTTTTCTCCCTCATCTTCTTCTACTTCTACTTCTCATGACGTGTTATTGTTTGTGTGTTTCTGTTTTTCCTGAAGACAAGTGGCGAAAAACTTGGTGATTTCGATTCAGAGGGCGAGCAAAACATCCATTGATTTGTTGACGATATTGCATTAAATTTCAACAAAGAGCGCAAGCAAAAGAGAGACAGCTAGGGTGGAGTCTAGAACATTAATGACGTTCAAAATATGTCGATGCGATTCGGTTACATTAGCCACAAGCGCTCATGCGTGCGCGTGATCGAACGTTAGCGCTCGGCCACCACCATCACCACCACCATCGCCTCTTTCAATTCCGTAATGTATCGCCTTCGATTCGTCCGAACTATATAATATATAGATATCTATATGTATGATCTATTATGAGTACAATCTACGTGACTTTTAGCTAGAACTGTGATTACATTTGTTTTAGTCCAATGGTCGATTGGATTCCAGGAATTTGTACATTCGAATCACAGGGTTCGCTCGAATGTGATTGCGGCGAATGTATGAGCGATTTGATATATGTGTAGCATGTCTTTTATATATGAATGAGATATTTGTGCGCGCTTCTGCTTTCAATCAGCATTCAATCGATGACACAGCCGAAAACAGCAAAAATAACAACAACAACAACAACAGCAAACCGCAACCGACGATCTGAATGAGAAAATCAGAAACCAACACGAACACGAACATCACCACTACCACCAGCATCAGGCAGTTTGATCGAAATCTTACTCCCTGAACAGCGGAAATTGAGAAGAAACAAACAGAACATTTATATATTAAACTTTTTGAATGAGCAGCAAAACGAAGACGATTGCTGCACATGAAGAAGTTAGTCGACCAAGGGGCGAATTACTACTGAAAAATTGAATTCAGTAATTTCAGTGCCCAATGTATCCCTTTCGATGAGAAAAATGAATAGATGGCAGGTCTGTCAAAACGAATTTCAACTGTCAAAAATCGCGATCTATTTTGATACTGAAAAACACTGAAAAGTACTGAAAATATTTTTCAGTTCATTTCAGTACTTTTCAGTTGTTTTCGGTGGATTTCGATGCTTTCAGTCTTTTCAGTGGTGATTTGCCCCTTGAAGTTGATACTCTTTACCAACGCAAAGCAGCATCAATAGAAATACCAGTGGCAATGGCAATGGCAATGACCAAATCAGATTGAAATAGAGCATCATCTATATCACGAAAGTGG